TCTAGGTCTTGGCCCTGAACACTGGGCTTCTTGCCCTCAGGATGAATTCTGGCTTGCCCAGAGTTCCTGTTTCCTTGTGAGCCTGCTTGTGAAACTTTGCTGGTATATTTCTGTCGCACACATGCTCACGCACACTCCAAGTCAGTATGGATGAAAGGCAGTTGCAGGGGATAGCATACTGGAAATCACAACACATTTCTGACAGCTGGGCAGACAGATCCATTCAGTGACGGGAACATTACTGCCTAGGACAAGATTGTACTTCCGACGGTGACAAGGACTAGGGGACTTTCAGGCTTCAACTAACCCTTCAAATGACAGAGAACATATGACACCTCCCATGCTCCACCTACTATTCACATGACAGGTGTGCTTTTGATGGTTAAAGGCTGGCCAGTCCGGGTTCTTTCATCTGTGAGCACTGTCACAGCACTCACACAGCAGCTTTGAAAAGGAAGCTGAGACTCCATTGCAAGAACTACAGTGTGTTTTGTGGCTTGAAAGTTTAGGATTAAGAAGATGGAAAGACAACATTTATTCTGTAGAAATAATCTACTCGAAACCTGTCTGTCTGTGGTGGCAGATCCTGCAAATTCAAAGGTCAAAAAATAAGAGTCCAGGCCCTGGGCAATTGGTACAGTAGCTTAGAAGTGACTTGGAACTCCTGCATCCTATATCAGAGTGCCGGATTTGAGTCCTAGTTCCTGTTCTAATCCAGCTTCCTGTTCATGTGCACCCTGGGAATGCAGCAGAGAATAGCTCAAACACTTGGGTCAATGACCACTATGTAGGAGTCCCACCATGGAGTCTAGGCTGTTCGCTTCAGCCTGGCCAGTCCTGCCTGATGCACTTGAGGAGTGAACCAGCAGATGGCAGCTCTGTCTGTTAATGTGTTTCTTTTTGTCTCTTTGCCTTTCAAATAAAATGAAAATAATCAATCATTTAACAAAAATAGAGCCCAGTGTCGAGTAAACAACTATCATGGTTTTACCTGGACTTCCCAGATGGAGAGGTTTCAGTACTTAAAACCAAGGAAATTCCAGGACAATTCGAATGACTTGGTCATCCTGCCTGTCCCCAAGAAGCTCATAGGCTAGAAAGGAAGACAGGCATGCAACTGTTTAGTTATGAAATAATAGTGTATTATGTGAAACCATGGACTAGTCATAATAGGTATACTTCTGTAGCAGTTCCTGTGATTTAGGAACTAGGTAGAACAGTGTCTAAGTGCGATTGGGCTACTACAGCATAATATTATCAACTGGTAGATTATAACTACCACAGATGTATTTCCCACAGTTCTGGAGGCTGCAGGATCCAGTATCAAGGTGCCAGTAGACTCCATATCTCATGAATGCCTACTTTCTGGCTCATGCATGGAGCTCTCTCACTGTGTTCTCACACAGCAGAAGGGACTGGTCAGCTCTCTGAGGGCTCTCTGATAAGGACACTGTGATGTGTGCTCTGTCCCTACCACTGGATCTTCTCTTGAAGGTCTCATTTCATAGTATCACCTCTCGCAGTCAGGATTTCAACACAGGAGTCTGGGGGCAGGGAGCAGCATAAGCATTCAGCTCACTTTCTTGACTTGGGCTGGTTTACTGAATCCCAGCAGAGTCCTGTGAAGAAAGGGCTACTGCAAAAATCATTTACCTATGCTCATTTTGATTGAGAGATCTGTGGACAGAGTTTTTCCACCTGCTGGTCCGCTCCTCAGATGCTTGTAGCACCCAGGGCTGGGTGAGGCTCAAGCCTGGAACTCAATGCAGTTTTTCTGCATGGGTGGCAGATACCCAAGAACATCAGCCATCAAATGCTGCCCACGCATATAAGCAGGGTGCTGGATTGGGAGTGTGACAGCCAGAACCTGAACAAGGTATTCTGATAAGGGATGCAACCATTCCAAGCGGCAGCTTAAATGTTGCTGCACCACATGGTGTGCCTCGAAAGGACTATTCTCTTCACTTAAGAAATTGGGATTCCACTCAAGAGCAGATTTGGGACTCTCTGCCCAGTCAATCTGAAAGCCGAGAACACAAATCACAGAGTTGTGTGAGTTATTGACCTTATGGGTGATCAGATGCAGTCACAGAGAAGACGATGCCAGAGAGGGATTTTGAATGATAAATTGAGTAATTAACTAACAGAATGAAAGAAAAAGGCATTCTGGGCATGACAGCCCAGGTTAGGGTATGAAGATGGGAAAGGTCAAGGTGGTATTGGCAGGCCAATTCCAGTGGGAACCCTAATGGCACTCTTGGCTGTGACAGAAGTAACATTTCACAAGGCAGGACAGGACTTAAGAAAGGAAACTTGAGGAGGCAGCAGTGCTACTCTGTGCAGGGCCAATATGCCATGACAAGGAATACATATATAAACCTTATACATTACAGGAACTCTAGAGAATTCTAAGTAAAAACTAAGTGTTGCACCTACAGTTTTAGACAGTGTGGTAGCAGCCAGATGATTGCTAGAAATCAAAGGTGTGAGAACAGAGGCAGTAGAGAACAAAGAATGACATTTTAAAAAGCACAGAGAGCTGGTAACCTTAAGCACGACTTACGGCAAAAGGAACCACTGGCTGTACAGCTTCAAAAGATGAAGGGAATAAGATAGACCAAACTTGCTTAGTGATTGGATGGCAGGGCTAAAGGGCTCAGAAAAGCTCAGGATATTGCCTGTGATGCCTGTTGGTTGATTGAGTCTGCCAGAGTCTCACCAGTAATTAAAAAACTATGAGAGAGACAAATGGGAGGACAAATGGGTTTAGAATAGAATATACTTTGGCCTTTGGCAATTCACGGACTTACAACTAAATTAAGATGGTATTGTCTAATCCAAATGTTCCATAAAAGGATGGGAAGTAACTTGCTCTAAAGGCAACTGGAATGCTCTGGAAGACCAAGTATGAAGTAAGTAGAAAGCAGAATAATTAATATAATAGTAATTCAATACGTTTTGAGTAGCTTCGAGATAAAAATGTAATATATTCACTTATAATAAAGTTATCAATATTTTATTGTTTTTCTTAAATGTTTATATTTTATAAAAGACAGCAATATTTAACTGAATCTGATGAAATATTTTCAGATATTTTAATCCTAAAAGTAATACAATTGTGTGTGTATATGGGGGAACAAATGAGCCTTCTAGAAATTATTAAGTCATAGCAAACTTGGAGCTATTAATTCTTTCTGCAGGGAGTTCATTTAAGTGAAAGTTGATAAAAATTCTATCCATGGTTTTTTTTTTCTATATCTGAATTACCTTTTGATAAACATTTACCTGTTTGTTTCAAAACAATTAGTAGTTTTAGGATATTGGAGTGATAGGCATAGGAAATGGGTTATTACCAATACTGAACGCAATCCTGATTTCCATAACCTGTTTATTTTCTGAATGCCTCTTTTCAATTCTGGCCTCCCTATCTAATCCCCAAGCTTGCACTGTGATGTGTATCTCCACCATGGGGCAAGGCAAGCTCATCCCCTCGTGCATACCCGTCTGTGCTTTCCTGATAAATGGCTTGTGGATTAAAGTGCATGAACAATGATCTTGATCATGATATCTCAGGAACATGTTAAATTACTTTAGCACCTATTCTTTGAGGCAGCCAGGCTTGGAAGGAATAGAAGGAAGTGTATCTAGGGAGGCTAAGGGACATTCCCAAACACTCAGCTTAGGAACCACACAATCACCCTATTACCCTGATCTCTCATGAGTCCTCTTGCCAGGAGAAAATTTTGCCTTCTATTAACACACCCTAATTGTGAAGTAGCAGAGCCCCTGCCTTTGTGATTAAGTGGCTCGGGGACCCTTTCTACCAGGCAAAACTTCACCTCTCTCAGATTTCCTAACTTCGGTTTTTATTTAAAGAAGCATGCTGCGCCCTGTTCTAACATCATTTATCTTTGTCAGCATCCGGGGCCACAGCTTCTTCTCCTGTATGGCTGGTGATATATAGCAGATAGAGTGCACCAAAGATATTAAACCCAATATGACATTTATATGGACTCTGAGCCCACCATAGATGGATTGGTACTGTCAGAAAGCCTTGTAGGTAACCAGACCAAAGAAAGACTACGAAGACTAGTGGGACAGGCCGAGGGTAGTCGGGAAAGCAATATCTTTCTCTGCCTACTCTTTGCAGAGATTAGCTTACAACTCATTTACAAAAATGAGGAAATCAAGTGAATGGGGGAGGGAGAGGATTTTTGGAACCCAGCACTAAGAAAACTCATCTTTGATTTCATTACTAATGGTATTCCCCATGGTCTTGGTCAGGTCAACAGTCAGCATGGGTATCAGGACACTTAGGATATCCCATTTTGAGCCCAGAGCATGCTACCAACCATATATCATACTGGAACAAAGAAAGGATTGAAAGAACAAAGATGCAAAAGTGGCAGAGGATCAAGCGAGGTTTCAAATGCATGTCTGTTGCACTCCCTTGACAAGTGTCCTCAGCCCCTTGGTCATGGTCTTATTTATGGGCTCCTGTACCTAGGATGGACAGAATGCTGGCAGTCTACTCTGCATGCCTGGACTGCACACTGGATTAAAGACAACAGTGTGTCTGGCTTTGTTTTCGGAATTATCAGCAGAATGGGACTCAATCCTGACCTGATCCAACAGGTATTCTGGAGGTACTTGGGAACCACCTGGAAATTATTTCATACAACAAAACAGTAATTTGTTTTTCATAGCTCGTGCTCATCAGTTATGCAAGCAGTTAACGTGATTCAGTGCCCTGCAAACAAAAGGCTCAGTGAACAGACATGAGCCCCCCTCTACCCCACCAGCTTAACTCCCTCATGGACTTGGATTCGCTGCTGCAGACCACTGCATGTATGTGAGTTCTTTATGGACTGCCTGCAGCTAAGTTTGGAGGATGCAGCTTGTTGGCATCATTTAAACTACAGCAACATAAACGTTTAAAAAAATAACTGGTGATCAAGCAAGCCCCACGTTCACACGAAGAGAAAACAGATTTGACTTACCAGTTGAGACTGTTTGAGGCAGCAGAGGAACAAGTTGTTGGTAATTGTCCAGTGCTTTCATTCAATAAATCACATTGGCTTTGCTTTCTCCTGCTGTGGCTCAGCCTCTGCGCAAAGCAAGCGAATCTCCTTCCTATTCTGTGTGAAGAATAAAATACGAACAGGATCACTACAGGCAAGTGCCGAAGTCCATGATCACCAAGCTACTCCTAATGCACGATATAAGGAACAAAACGATGCACAGGCGAGAAGGGGAGAGGGGAAACAGCTTGGCTCGCGATGACTTGTCAGGACTGCAGCCCAGGGGAGGCTTCATTTTTCAGTCTGGTGTGCATGTAGTCAAAGAATGCCATGACTTTAGTGTGGAGCCTATTGTTTCTGTGAGCACCATTGTTTTAGAATGGCATGCAGGGACAAGAAGCTTCCTACCAAACAGGACTGACTCAGAACTAACTTTCATTTAGGGGTGAGCAAAGGGAAAGCAAGTCAGCTTTGCAACACATCGAAGGCAGGGGGAGAAACACTGACAGGCGCCCCATAGCCCGCCCAGCAGTCTGTGACTGTGGATGATTTACAGCACTTCTGGGGCCAGACAGTCCATAACTCCCACAGCCACCTGGGACCAGAAACAGGAAGGTGGCAGCCACATCCCCTCACTGCAGGACACCAGCATAATTCCTTACAAGTTCCCAGCTGCAGCAGATGAGCAAAGCTCCAAATCTAGTCAGGGATACTCAACCGATGTTGAAGTTGCCCGAGCACATTCTGAGAAAAGCAGTCAGCAGACATGGGCCTTAACCTCTGGGTAAGATCTCAGAGCTTTTTCTATGGCAACCACCCATGGGTATCCCTGGCTGATGTTACAGCATTATGTTTTACATGACTAATCAAACACACAAAACGGATTTCCTAGAAAGCTGCATATGTAGGCATTTCTGTTTTTCTCTCAGAAATCAAATGGCGAGCAGTCTTTGCTTATTGCGTCAGGGAGGCCTTGTGGATTGAGCACATATAAGCATCATGTGCATCTCTGTCACACACACGTGTGTGTGCACACAGCCTGAGCAGCATCTTTCTAAAGCTCCATTCAGATTCTCTCTGCCAAATAGTTATTTAGCTGCTGTGATGACTTCAGAAACAATTTTGCACCCTTGTACCAGGCACTGACTCTTGAATTTTATTTATACCAACAGCCAAATCAGCTCCCTTATTTTGATTGTGACTGTAGCAAAGCAGGGTATTATCTCTTGATTATGAAAATGAAGTGCAACATTAATTTCTGACTTGGCGATTTAGGATCCTGGGCATGACATCTTGCTTTCCTGAAAAAAATGCCATCCCTAAAGGCATCATCAACCCCTGGAGACCTCCTCTGTCTTCCATCCCATTTCCAGAGACTCACCTCTTCAAAGGAATATGGATATGAAGTTAGCTCTATGCTCCTGTCTTATTGTTTTGTTGTTGTTGTTGTTTCTGCTGCTGCTTTGTTTTGTTTTAGTCTTAAGCAAAGGCAACACCTCTCTCTGGAACACCTCTTCTCCCTTTATCTGCTTGGTTTCATTTGGTCATGGAATCTCTATAAATAACTTATTTGGGCATGTTCATCCCTTGAAATTCTGGCGGAATTTTTTTTTCTACCATAGATTAAGAATCAAGCTATTCTACTGCAGCTTAAACTTAAATGAATGTCAGGAAAATGTTATTCTTCCCTGTTGAAAAGCTTTGATTTTCCTGAATACTCCTGTACATTCCATCTACTGGGCTAATCCAGGCAGCTCACAGCAACTACTAAAGGTAGGGGCTTCCTCCAAGGGGTCCTGAGTTCAGTCTGCTAAGAAAACCTAAGGAGATGATGGCTTTTGGAAGCATAATACCCCTTCCTAGAGTAAACACAGGTTGAGCACTCTTAATCTAAAAACACAAAATCTGGAATGTTTCAAAATCCAAAATTTAATGCCTACTCGAAAATTCCAAAAGCCTCAAATTCTGTTGCATGCAAAAATTTATATAACAAAACCCTGGAAATTGTATCCAGTCTATGTGTGTATATTACATATGAGGTATAAATGAATTATTTGTGTACATTTGGGTCCCCCATCCCCAGGGACTTCATATCTATAAATATTCCAAAACCCACATTCCAGCACCACTCTGGTCCCAGGCATTTCAGATTTGGGATAGTCAATCTGTACTCAAGTCATGAGTCAGAAAGTCTAAGTCCTGTGCAAAGGAGACTCGTTCACTAATTTTTTAATGAATATTTATTAGTGCATTTCCTAGGCTAGAAATGCTGTATCAGTTACTTTAATGTTGCCCAAAGCCCAACAAAGTGTAAGTTCTTTGGCACAACTTAGTAAAATTTTCCATATTCCAGCCGCATCTACCTCTCTGGTCTAACTTCTCAGCAACTTCCTTCTTGCAGTATTTTTAAGTATCTGTCAGTTCCTTAGACATGCCAAACTCTTCTAATGCCAGACCTTCACATGTGATGTTCTTCTGTCTGGATGCACAGTCACCTCTGGCTAACTCCCAGACAGCCTTGGAATCCAACGTGAAATATCTCCTCTTGGGGATCATTTCCCGGCCGTTGGATCCAAGGTTCCCTGCCCTCTAGTCTGAGAATATGGCATCCAATATTCTCCCATTATATATCTATCATATTTCCATTATCCTGTAAGAGTTTAAGTGCAAAATCTCTTATTTACTGCTATAGTTTCAGTGTCCAGCAGAGTTCCTGGCACACAAAAGTCAACCAATAAATACTTAGTGTTTACTTTGAATGCATGCATTTATTGACTGCATTAAAAACACCTCAAAGAATAATGGGGATGGCTCTGAATTGAAAGCAACCTTAAAGTTTTCTTAGTACATCTAAACAAGGTACACCTTGTCCAATTCACATTCATGACTCAACCCATACCAGTCACACTTTAAGCTCCACACCCCCCCAAAAGCTTTTACAGCATGTAACTGCCTTTTACTTTCTTGTTGTCTCATGAGATTTGTCTCATCTCTACAAACTTGTATCTCCATAATTCCAACGAAAGTCTGTAATTATCTGATGCTTGATTCACTCAACACCAAACATCTGCATGAGGACTGAAGTGATCTGTATTACTCTGATTTAAGAGAAAGGATGGATTAAGTTATTCAGGTCCAACAAAGATTATAATAATGACTACAGAATAAAATTGGGATCTTAAAGCAACCTGGCCTTTCTCTTTCCTTCCACCCCTGCCCAGTTCCCTGTCCTGTGCCATAAGACCAATGTTCTCATGTGGAACAGTGACAATGTTTGTTCCACACTCAGAACGCCCACTCCACCCAGCTCCACCCTCAGAGTTACTCATATTTCACTTGTTTAGGTTATTTATGAGTGTGTTTCACAGATTCAAAACTTAAAGACAGGGATTGCAATTTAATTTGTCTTTCTCCACCAGCCTTACACTTTCCTGACCTTATGTCCTAAAGACAGTAAATGCTCAGCAAGTGCTAAGAAGGAAAGGCATTTCTTGCCAAAGCAATATGTTAGCAAGAGGTGTGACGATGAAAGAAACTGGTTTTATGAGAGAGATGCAACTGACTACAATGAAAAAAACAATTAGATGCCTTTAAAATCTAAGTAATGTGCTAAGGAACAGCAAAGGTTTATGGGTATCACTTCCTTCTGGAGTGCTTAGGAATAGTCACAGGGAGGTTGCATTTGAACTGGGTCTGAAGGAATGAAGACCTCACTCCTGCTTGAAGAGTAAAGAAGGGAATGATGTCATGGCCAGTTATAGGAATCACAAGTAGCCCATGGACTGGAGTTGGTGGTTTGGGAAGGATCAAACAGGGTTGGTCACAGAAAGCAGGCAGGTGCCGGGTTGGTGAGGGTTTGAGGTGAGTGCTAAAGAGCTTGGACTTTGTATTACAACTGACAGGGATTTCAGCAGAACAGCAGTGCAGTTGACTAGGATCCATCTGGTCTACCAAGTGTGGATGATGACGTGAAGTGACGAGAACCTCAACACAGGAAGACGCTGATGGTGAAGGCCTATGAGATACGAATTAGGAGATGAGCATGGGGCATACTTGGGAGGTAGAACTGATAGGACTTGTCAGCAATACAGGTGGGCACAGGGGAGGATGTTAGAGAAAAGGATACTGAAGGTGACTTTCATAATTTTAACCTATGTGATGGTAGATTATGGTGAATGATTGCATTGTGCACACCTGAAATAATGTAAGCATTCAAGCAATGGTCTTTGCATTGTTTTAAGAAAGAGGAGGAGGGGACTGTGTCCATGGAGTGATGTGATGTACCTAGAGTGCTTTGAAGAAAGCATTTAGCACCAGGTCAAGGTAGTCTAGGCTGCCACAATGAACTTCTGTTAACTACAGGCCCATTTGCGAGAACATGCACAAGTTCCTTAGAGAGAGGAGTTACCCACTAAAAAGGAGACTTTGCAGCTTCTCATTGGCATTTTTCTTTTACAAAGCATTGATTCAAATTAGGCTAAAGGTCCTCAATATCAGAAGCTAGAAATGACTGCTCTCTCCTTCAAAATCCTGCTCATATTTTGAAAATGTGCATGTTTCACTGTAAATGTATGTCTGCCTTGTGGTTAAGTCCATGTGGTCTGTGTGTAACACATAAATTTAATTGGATCACTTTTGGAAGGCTATTTCAAATAATTTTCACATTTTAAAATGGGGATGCCTTTTCATTAGCCTCAAAATTAAATTATGAGAGAGTGGCAGTCCCTCACTGTGGTCAGCAAAGAGACTGGCCAGCCTACTTCCGTTCTCTAATCTCTTGACCTTCCTTAGGGCGCGGCTGCTCAAGACGGAGCTCCAATTCTTTTTTCAAAAATAAAATGTGCTACTTATCAAGAGCCACAAAAAAAGAGGACAAAAAATAGGAAAAGAAAATGAACACCCCAGGGTGTATCTGAACATGCTTATTATGTGTGAAGTTGTTAGTACTGAATGTGAAACTCTTCCTCCTCCTCCTTCTGGATTTCTAAGCCCCAAAGAAAAAAGAAAAGGGGTGGGGAGGGCTCTGGCTATTCAATCCAAAGCAGACCTTTTCAATAGGTGCAGACTGTTCACTGTTCATGGGCATGTTATTTCTTGATTATTT